CATTACCCCCACTCACTTGCCCCCCCCCTCTCTCTCTTCCTCTGTTTCTTTCTCTAGGGTCTACCACTTTTTGCTGTAGTGTTCCCCTTTCTGTGGCCTTTCCGACTTGTCCTCACCGCTCCTGTAAGTGTTGTGACCTCAATGTACGCACTTTGGTTTCTACAGCATGTGTAGATCTAGATTCTTGTCATTTATATTTTGAATGTTCCCGATGAAGCCCGTTGAGGGCAAAACTTGGAATTTGTCTTTAAATATTTTGGAAATAGGCCTACAACCAAGTCTTAACCGCTTTACTATCTGCTACATACAATGATGATGATGATGAAGATGAAAATGATGATGATAGTTCGTCCATTTATGTTTAAAAATAAGCAATGCATCAGCAGAGGAGAATATTTAATTCTTAAAGAAACATTTAAAAAACAAAAAATAATACAGTTGTAAATAATTTGTGGCAATAACTTTGGTCAATGAAATCAATTCTGGAAGACAAAAGTTGGACACATTGGGAGCATTTTGTTCAAAGATTCTTTTCTTTTCATGGGTGTACGGTGTAGATCTATGCAGCCAGTGGACTTCTCTCCTGCCTTCAGCGTTTCTCATCCGTGAAACCGTCAACGATCTGTTGCCCTGGGAAACAATGGACAGGAGAAGATCGGGGAGAACTTAGGACGGAAGACACAAGAGATCAGAACCGCTTCACGGTACCGGCCAACCACGCTTGACTGAGCGCGAGGAACAAGAAATAATTATGTCAGTCGTGACAATAGCGGCCATATAGTGACGGAAAAAAACAAGCAGTACCAGTGGAACCCTCCAACCACCCAACCACCCAAACAGTTGAATAGTCCGAAGATTCCTTTATCATTAACCATTGCTCCAACCGCTCCATTTTGTATCCTCCCCCACGACGTAGCCAACACAAGGCAGAAACCAGCCAGCCGTGTCTACCTAACCTTTGTCTCACGATAGAGGCGTCTTTCTTGTGACAAGACTGCACGCGCTTACTGAACAAAACTGTTGAAGTAAATGGCATGTTGGATCGTTGTTCCTTCACCACCCACCTCCCATTCCAACCCAATCTCCACTCCTCGTTAGTACGTACGTACGTACACACACACACACACACACACACACACAAACACACACACAAACACATACACAAAAACACACTTGCAAATACATGCACACACACACACACACACACACACACACACACACACACACACACACACAAACACAAAAACACACTTGCAAATACATGCACACACACACACACACACAACACACACACACACACACACACACAACACACACACACACACACACACACAACACACACACACACACAAACACATACACACACATGCCATCACCGCCACCTCTACTTATTTAAACACATTAATGATTTCCTTCTTCCGATCGTTAGCTTGAGATGAGGGTTGTGGAAAGGGGGGATAGAGGGGAGGGGGGAGGGGAGGGGGTAGAGGGGAGGGGGGGAAGGAGGGGAGGGAGTGGGGAGGGGGGGAAGGAGGGGAGGGAGTGGGGAGAGGGGAGGGAGGGGGTAGAAGGGAGGCAGGGGGGAGAGGGGAGGGAGTGCGGAGAGGGCAGGGAGGGGGTAGAAGGGAGGGAGGGGGGAGAGGGCGTAGAAGGGAGGGAGGCGAGAGAGAGAGAGAGAGAGAGAGAGGGGTTGCAGGGGGGATAGGGACGAGAGGGTGGAGAGGTACAAAGGGTGGACAGGGGGTAGAAGAACAGATGTGACGCCTTCTCTTCACTTTCCATTGACTTGTTCTCGTGTTCTGTGCTCAGGCGTTCAGATCAAATCTATACCGTAGCCTACAGGCTTATTCATTGTGTTTGCTTAGAATTAAAAGTGCAAGCGAAACACCAAACGCATGTATTTTAGTTTTAGTAGAGGTTTTACGGCGCTCGCGACTGCATAAGGTCATATGAGTGCCAGAAGGTTAGAGGTGTTACAAGAGAGTAACAAACATAAAAAAGAAAAAGTGGAGATCAGGACGATAGATGTTGGATAGAAAAGAAGAAGCAAACCACACCAGAGCACCCGCCAACACCCGCCAAAAAGCATGTATGTATTTATCCAGCATTATCAATGTACATAATAATAATATAACATGTGGCCTATGTCCTACCACAAAAGTCTCTAAGTTGCAATTTTGAGTTTCAACAAGTGATTACAACTGACAGTTTGACAAGTAGTCTGTCTGTCTATCTGTCTGTCTGTCTGTCTGCCTGTCTGCCTATCTGTCTGTCTGTACGTCTATCTGTCTGTCTGTCAGTCCAAACCCCACACCTAACAGCAGTCATCATGTATCTATCTATCTGTTTGTCTGTCTGTCTGTCAGTGTGTCTGACTGTCCAAACCCCACACCTAACAACAGACTGTTTTTCTCATATAAATTTTTACACATATGCATTTATATTATATGTATAATACTTTGTTTTACGTACACGCATGGCAATTAATTTTTAAGATGTGATGTCTTTTTCGTTGTAATGCGCATTGAGCATCTTTTAGAAAATGGAAATGCGCAGTATAAATTCTATTTATTATTATTATCATTATTATTATTAACAGTCATCATGTATCTATCTGTCTGTCTGTCTGTCTGTCCGTCCGTCCGTCCGAACCCCACTCATAACAACAGTCATCATGTATCTATCTGTCTGTCTGTCTGTCTGTCTGTCTGTCTGTCTGTCTGTCTGTCTGTCTGTCTGTCCGTCCGTCCGTCCGTCCGATCCCCACTCACAACAACAGTCATCACGTATCTCCCCGTCTGTATCTCCCCTCCCCCCCCCCCCTCAGATCGCCGTTCGACGTCCCAGTGACCTCTGTACTCCCCATCTACTTCTACAAATTCAAACTGAAAGAAAAGACGTTCTCTGAGCTGACCACGGCGCTGTCCCGCCTGCACAAGCTGGTGTACGTGAGAGACCCCTACTCCCGCCTCTACTCCGCCTTCGTCGACAAAATCATCGCCCCGAACCCTTTCTTCTGGCGGCTCTGGGGCAAACCGGCCATACAGAGGTACCGGAAGTCGTCGGGGCAGTCTTGCGGACAGGATATGACGTTCTCCGAGTACATTTCTCTGACGGTGGACTCGGAGTGGAAGACAGACGTGCACATGCAGCCCGTGTACCACTACTGCCCGCCTTGCATCATGAACTTCACCGTCATAGGCAAGATGGAGACGTTCCAGCGAGACGCCATGAAGACCGCGTCCTTGCTCAACATCTCCGAGAAGCAAATCGCCTTCGACAGAATGGAAAAGGATGCTGTTGACGACGCGATATTCGACTCGGCCAAAGACTCGCTCTCGGACAAGTGGCTCAAGCTGTCTCTCCAGTGTGTCAGCAGGGACCAGGTGATGAGGAGGATTTTGAGGAAAGTCCAGCTTCGCGGAATCGTCAGCTGGAGATTTAAGTACCCGTACTCGAGACAGGAATCCAAGATGGTGAGTCTGGATAAGTACGTGCGAGTCTTGACGGAGGCCCGGGATCGATACCTCAACAAAACCGAACTAAAGATACAAAAGAAACAAGCGTACCTAGAGGCTTTCTATAGCGTGCCGCAACCGGTTCTGCAGAAACTGGATGACATTTACAAACTGGACGCTTTGTTTTTCGGATACGAGAAGGTGGGGAACCGGTTTAAGACGGGGAACCGATTACCTCTCGTGCACACCGGGGCGTTTGACCTGACCAGGGAATGGGATCTGTCTCCCGTGTTGTGATGACACATTTGTGATGACGACACACCTACACGTTTGTGATGACACATTTGTGATGACATACACAGACTTTGTGACAACACACTACACAACTACACATCTACACTTTGTGACAACACACCCAGACTTTGTGACTACATACCTACACGACGACAAACCTACACTTTGTGACTACACACCTACACGACAACACACCAAACTTTGTGACAACACACCCAGACTTTGTGACAACACACCCAGATTTTGTGACTACACACCTACACGACGACAAACCTACACTTTATGACTACACACCTACACGACAACTACACTCCCAGACTTTGTGATAACACACTACATATCTATTAATTCTATACGACGACACACCCAGACTTTGAGACAACACTGCCAGACTTTGTGACAACACACTACACATATATACGACGACACACCCAGATTTTGTGACAACACATCTACACGACAACACACCCGGACTTTGTGACAACACACTTTGACTTTCTTGTGTGATCTAGTTGTTTTAGAAATGCAAGAGTGAATATTTATTTTTATATAATATAATTTTTATATTATATAGATATTAATTTATATATGTATGTGTGTGTGTGTGCGTGCGCGCTTGTGTGTGTGTGTGTGTGTGTGTGTGTGTGCGTGTGTGTGTTCATATAAAACCGTCGTGTGTGTCAATCTGACAATGGGCCTGTACTGCTCTAATCTATTCCGTCCTGGTTCATTCTGCTGCTTACAGGTCTCGTCTGTTGGTACCACTCTTAGTTTTAGTAAGAGTTTTACGGCACTTACAACACAGTTAGGTCATATAAGTGCCGAAGATTAGTAGAGGTGTTACAAGAGAGTAACAAACTCAAAAAAAGGAGGGGAAATAAAGACGATAGATGTTTGATAGGAAAGAGAAAGCAAACCACACCAGAGTACCCGCCAACCACCCACTGGTACCAAACTGCTCTGGTGCAGATGTCCCTGGTTCGGACCCCCCCCCCCCCCTGTGCCCTTGAACTGTGACAGAGCTGTTCACAAAGTTTTCAAGGCTGTTCGCCTATATCATGTAAAAAAAGAAGAAGTAAAGTTGTTCCCACATCCGATCCGGACATTGGGGATTGTTTTATTAGAATTAGTGAGACAACTTCATGGGTCTTCGGCATATTGTGGTAGGGTGGCCAGTTCCTTTCCACGCCGCCTTTACTTCCCCAACTCGAAGTCAGGTACCCATTACTGCAGGGTGGGCGGGAGGGGGCGAAAAAATCCCGTGTCCGAACCGAGGCTCGATCTCGGACTTTCCGCTTCGGAGACTGGCGCAGTAACTGCTCCGCCACTGCGCCCTATATGATGTGCAGTATTTATGATCAATGTCTCGATCTCCTATCAGAGATAGGCATCCGTTTTGGAAGTCCCACCTCATAAGTTACTTAACTTTCTAGTTTTTCATTGTAAATACGTCATGCATTGTGTCTGAGTCTCTCCAAGGTCTAGGTTTCCAGGGATGTTTTTGTGGGGGGGGGTTGGGGGGGGGGGGGCACTTATTTCTCTTTTAATTAAATTCCATCGCTTTACATTCCATTCTACCACAGCTACAATTCACAGTTTTACATTCCTCCATTCTACCACAGCTACAATTCACAGTTTTACATTCCTCCATTCTACCACAGCTACAATTCACAGTTTTACATTCCTCCATTCTACCACAGCTACAATTCACAGTTTTACATTCCTCCATTCTACCACAGCTACAATTCACAGTTTTACATTCCTCCATTCTACTGCAGCTACAATTCACAGTTTTACATTCCTCCATTCTACTGCAGCTACAATTCACAGTTTTACATTCCTCCATTCTACCACAGCTACAATTCGTTGTTTTACATTCCTCCATTCTACTGCAGCTACAATTCACAGTTTTACATTCCTCCATTCTACTGCAGCTACAATTCACAGTTTTACATTTCTCCATTCTACCACGGTTACATTTCACAGTTTTACATTCCATTCCCGAGTGTGTGTGGTAAGTCACAGTAGAGAAACATTCGGACATGGTCATTAAGCTTGGGTGCTGGACAAAAGTAAGAAAAGACATGATATCGGTCAGAGGCACCCTCCAACCACCCACAGGTGTGTGTTGTTCGGCAATGTACAACAGGGTTCATTCTGAGCAGGACATTTTTTCCCCAAGAGTCTTCAAGACCAGATTTCCAAAACAAATAGCGAGTCATTTTCGAAGAAAATTTCCGTTCAGCATGTATAAATATATTATAGTACACTTCAGAATGCGTAAAGTCGAGGCCTTCGAAACTTCCAGGTAAAATTTTTACAATAGATCTACAATAGTAAAAAATTTGTCTTTCCAAGAATTTATCCAATTTCCCAAAATTCCAAGAGTTTTCCATGTCTTGGAAAAAAAAAATTCCCAAAGTTTTCCAGTTTTCCAAGACCTGTACAGACCCCTGTACAAGTCAAGAGAAGCACTTGGCCACGATAAAGGAGGACATTTAGAGGCTTTTACAGTCAGAGAAAGAAACAAGATAAACAGATGGATGAAAAGTGAGGAAAAGTTGGGGGATTTAAAAAGAATTGCATAACCTATCAGTGACACCCTCCAACCACCCACTGTGTGCATATTATCATGTATACATATATATATATATATATATATATCACGAGTGTGGGTGTGCGTGTGTGTGTGGGTTTTCAATATATCAATAAGTGGGCACACATTTGTGTTTGATTTCATGTAGCCTACTATATGGTCACTTTGAAGCACAAGGGGGCTATCCCCAAAAATGCTGTTTGGAGACAATTGAAGGCAACGTTTTTGCCCTTTGAGTTTCCTGAAAAGACAAGGAGAGTTTTCTCTATAACAAAACAAATATACACACTAACGAAACCAAAGTTCTCCTATTATACTATAGGTAGGGCAATGCCCACTTTTGATGTATGTCAAGATTTCTGGAAACCCCTGAAATCTAGGTTAGCCCGCTTGTCTTTCAAAGCGACCATATCTCATTAGTGGGAACAAGCTATACAAAATCCCAGCAGACTGATCCTTCAGTTCACCGGGTGTGCTCAATGTGGGGAGAGAATTACCATTTTATTAGGGAACAAATCATGGAAAAAAAGAAAAATAAAGAGGTTAATTCGTTGAGAGTACCAACAAGCCTGTTTGTTTGATTGATTTGGAGCAAAGACAGGCACATTGACGCCATACCAGTCTTTTACTGGGGGCGGTTGGAAGGTGCTCTGTTGTGGTCTGCTCCTTCTTTCCTATCTATAAACAAACACATCGGCCGTCCTTATCTCCCCTCCTCCTTTTTTTGTGTTTGTTACTCTCTTGTAAGACCTCTAATCTTCAGCACTTATATCACTCATTTGTGTTGCAAGTGCCGTAAAACTCTTACTAAAACCAAACTCAAGTTTCTGCTGCTGAGAAAAAGCGAAACAGACAAAAATATAACAGGCAAAGAGAAGAAATAGGACCAACCAGAGACACCCTCCAACCACCCGTGTCCCCGTGTGAAGGACATAGAAACAAACCCAACAACAACAACAACAACAACAACAACAACAACAACAACGACGACAGCTGTTTTTGTTTTCGTCTTTTACTGCATAGCTCCCCACAACACGAGCTGTGAAGAGAACAGAGGTAGAAACAACATCAACAGCATCAACATTCCAAGACAAAATACACATTTTCATCATCAGCCTTCTACGATAAAATAAACATTATCATCATCAGCCTTCTACGATAAAATAAACATTATCATCATCATCATAATTATCACCATCAGCCTTCTACGATAAAATAAACATCAACAGCATCAACATTCCAAGACAAAATGGGTCAAGAGGGGGTGAAATCTCTCCACAATTTTTGGGCACGTGGAGTATTTGGAATCATCGTAAAGCTTGTTCACTTGTCTTGCTTTTGATGAAAAATTTACCCATTTATCTTGAATAGAAGTCGAGACATTTGCGACTGAAAGAGTTGAGGTTCCCTTGGTTTCAGAGATATAATTGGTGAGAAAATGTCCACCAAACTTTGGTGACTTCCAAAGCTTGCGAGTCCTTGGAAAGTTAAAATTTACATTTTTTTAATGCCTTTAACCAAAGATTTTCAGTAAAATCTACACAGAAGTGTATTCTTAAATGAACATTAAAGGCGTTGGGATAAAAAACACAAATACGATAAATTTGCCACCCCAGTGAGAAAATGCCGGTTTCTTCCATTTTAATTTGACGAGCCCCTGTTTTCACCATGCCTTACATAAACATTGTCATTATGATCACAATTCCAAGACAAAATAAACATTATCATCATCAGCATTTTCATCATAGCCATCATCATCATCATTCTACGACAAGAAAAACATCAAGGTCATCATCATTAGCAGCACTTCCAAGACAAAACAAACATCATCGTCATCAAAATCACCAATACACTATGACAAAAAAAAAACATCGTTGTAATCATCAGCGTAAGACACGAGAACTCCCAGGAATGAGCAAAGTAACCGTAGCAACGGGCAACACACGTGCAGTCTGGCACACATACCCACAAAACTAATACAGTCTCAGGCCCCGCATATTTTCTTGTATATATATGTGGGAAAGAGCAAGACAGACAGAAAGACAGACAGACAGAGACAAGCAGAGGAAAAAAAGTGGGCCCTAGCAGTGGCACCCTCCAACCACCCACATTTTCACACAAAAAAACCGATGACCCACACAGACCTCAGAATACAAACTCTACACTGATCAAATCTGCACCATTACACAAACGTCAAAACTTCACACGACACTTATTTACAGCCTCAACGCTTGTACACATTATAGTCCCTATTTACAGCATCAGGCGATAAAATGTGAGTTTTTTGTTTGAGTAAAGAGAAGCACGTAACAGTCATTTAGTGCCCAGGACAAAGTAGGACAGACGGACAAAAACAACGGAAGAAAAGAAAAGAGGTAGGACCTACCAGTGGGACCTTTAACAACTTGCTCAAAAACTTGGAGGTCAACTGCTATTGGCCTACAGCTTTCTCTCGCTTGCTTCTTCTTATAAACAAGCTGGATTACACAACAGATTCACACACACACACGCACCATACACGTGCACACACACACACACACACACACAAATGTATATATACCAGTCACAACGCAGTGGAATCAAGCACTCATCAGTTTTTTTGGCAAGTTGAGTTAGTGGTATCATCTTAAAGCTTTTTCATCTGTCTTGCTTTCAATGACAAAATACACATCTATTTTGAACAGAAGTTCAGATACTTGCGATTGAAGGAGGTGAGGGTCACCTGGTTTCAGAGGTAAAATTAGCGAGAAAATGGCCGCCAAAGTTTGGTGACTTCCAAAGCTTGAGATAATTTACATTTTTGTGGCTTTAATCAACGCTTTGCAGTAAAAGCCACACAGAAATGTATCTTTAACTGACATACAAAGTGTTAGGCAAAACAACAACAAAATTTTTTTAAAACTGGCATACCCATGGAAAAATGTCAATTTCTTAGATTTCATTATTCTAATGAGCACCTGATTCCACCACTATGCCTCACATATTTTAAAAATATATCTATATGTAATATAAATAAGAGGAGGGGGCTAGGGGGTGCATACTTTATTTTTCCCTCTTCACCGTAGTCCTTCCACGTCTGCTGGCACATTTCAGTGACCACGCTCAGCACTTTTCAAAGACCCCCAGGCAAGTGTTGAGTTCCTGCGTGCTGTTGGCATCGATGACCGTTTATGCCGCCAAAGCGGCAGGAGAGAGAGAGAGAGAGAGAGAGAGAGAGAGAGAGAGAGAGAGAGAGAGAGAGAGATAGAAAGAGAAAGGAAAATCTTTCCAGTGCCAATTCTTCAGCAGCCAAAACAAGCACAAAATGTCCGGGAACAAATCCCCCCTCCCTCCCCCCCTCCCTGGTCACACAAGTCCACCAACCCCCGACACAAGCAGCACACGGTACCACCGAGGAAACATTGGCCCGGCCACACACCCCCCGAGTCTCTCACACCCCTCAGATCACGCTCACACTTCCTGAAGGAAACAATACAGGAACGTGTCTGCTCATTACAGGAACATGTCAGCTCATTACAGGAACATGTCAGCTCATTACAGGAACATGTCAGCTCATTACAGGAACGTGTTTGCTCATTACAGGAACATGTCGGCTCACACTTCCTGAAGGAAACAATACAGAAACGTGTCGACTCAATACATGAACGTGTCGACCTAACCACCATCCTCCAGCACTAGCTCATAGAGCTGAATACACCCAGAACACCTGCGTCCTGGCCCTCCTCCTAATCCCCTCAGTCCATCATCTCCTCCAACACAACCTTGTTGAATAGACAGAAAACACATGCATCCTATCTCTCCTCCTAATCCCCTCAGTTCATTATCTCCTCCAACACAAGCCCACAGAGATGAATAGACGGAAAACAACCATGTGCATCCCTCCTCCTAATTCCCTCAGTTCATCATCTCCAGCACCAGCTCGTTCAGTTGTATGGATCCGTCAAACGTGAGAGAGAGGAACCTGTCCGCGGCCTTGGCGCTGACGATGCGGAGAGCCGGCAGACGAAGCAGGATTTTGCCGAAGCGTTTGTTGTCTGCGGGCTGCTGGTCGACGATGTGGCGTCGCAGGCAGTCCAGGATACGAGACTGCATCTCCGTGATACGTAGCTTCTGTTTGAGGCCATGCGCGTCTGTGGGAGGGGGGGGGGGGGGAAAATGTGAGAGGGAGGGGGGGGGGGAGGCAAAATGTGAGTGAGGGAGGGACAGAGAGATGGGTGGAGGAGGACAAGGAGGAGGAGGAGAGAGATAGAGACAAAGGCAAGGATAGAGTGTCTGTATGTACCTCTGTGATACACAGCTTCTGTTTGAGAACATGAGAGTCTATTGGTGAATAAGCATGTGGGAGGAAGAAAGAGGGATGGAGAGAGAGAGAGAGAGAGAGAGAGAGAGAGAGAGAGAGAGAAAGAGAGACAAGAAAGACAGACACTGGAATGGTAGGTTGCTTTGACCCAGCTTGTCAAGGGCCGACCAAGGCTGGGAGGAACACAATATCGCGGCACACAGACAGACAGACAGACAGACAGACAGACAGAGATGCTCAACAAATAAAACATCCCACTCTCCTCTGAACTTGCTTTAGTAAGAGTTTTATGCCACTTGCAACACAAAAAGGTCATATAAATGCCGAAGATTAGAGGTGTTACAAGAGAGTAACAAACACAAAATAGAAGGAGGGGAGATAAGGACGATAGATGTTTGATAAGAAAGAAGAAGCAAACCACACAAGAGCACCTGCCAACTACCCTCAACTCCTCTGAACTGAAGTCCCTTCCTCTGCTTGTGAAAACAAACCAGACAACACAGACGCCATTTGTTGTTATCATCGTTATTAGTAATATTATTACCATAACTGGTATTATTATTAACTGATTTCATGGAAGTTTATTTCACGTAGACTCCGTTAAGTACAACAGGCATCGTTATTTTAGCCGTCTCCTTCAAAGGGGGTGGGTTGGTTTATTTGTTTGCTTGTTTGTTTGTTTGTTTGCTTGTTTGTTTATTTGTTTGCTTGTTTGTTTGTTTGCTTGTTTGTTTGTTTGTTTGCGCGAGTGTTTGAGAAGCCCATCACCACAGTACCAGTGACACAGTTAGTCGATTGAAACATGCGGTCAGAGAAATGAACGGTGAACCTTACAGTGGCGCCCTCCAACCACCCACATAGGACCACCTACTGGCATCCTCCAACCACCCACACAGGACCACCTACTGGCGCCCTCCAACCACCCTTTGTTGGTTTGTTAGTTCGTTTGTATGTTGGTTTGTTTGTTTGAGTAAAGAGAAGCACATCAACAAAATAACCATCATTTGGTGCAGAGAAAGAAGCAAGGCAGACAGATAGACAGACAGAAACGACAGACAGATAGACAGACAGAAACGACAGAGGGAAAGACAAAGAAAGAGGCAGGACTCAGGATGTATCAGAGCCACCCTCCAACCCCCTGTCAACATTGTTTGTTTTAGTAAAAGTTTTACGGCACTTGCAACACAATAAGGTCATAAAAGTGCCAAAGATTAGAGGTGTTACAAGAGAGTCACAAACACAAAGAACAAGGAGGGGAGATAAGGACGATAGATGTTTGATAGGAAAGAAGGAACAAACCACACCAGAGCACCCGCCAACCCCCCCCCACCCCCCCGTGGACACTGACCTGGGTACATGAGCACTATGGCGTTGAGGATACAGAACTCGGTGAGGTCAAGGTTGATCTCCTTGAGTCGCTGCGCAAAGTCGATGGTTCCGTCCACCAGCTCTTTGCCCCAGCCCATGTTCTCGCAGTAGTCCAGGGGCAGGATCGTGTCCTCCGCAAACTTGATCTTTCCTTCCAGGTGCATCGACCTAGTTTGGAAAATAGTTTTAGTAGAATTTTTTGTTTTGTTTTAGGAAGACTTTTACGACACTCGCAACACAATAAGGTCATATAAGTGCCGAAGATTAGAGGTGTTACAAGAGAGTAACAAACACAACGAAGAAAAATGTCCTACATTGGAAAAAAAAATCTGTCTTTTTTAAAATAACCGGCTGACGATCTTAAACACCTCCAGCCCTCTCATTTACATTCCCCAAGTCCAAGACAAAAAATGTTTCTGGCTACCTTGCGATTCCTTCTTTGACAGGTTCGACTGTATACAAGAAACGGAAAAATAATAATAACAAATGACATAAATATAGTGCTCAACCTCGATTAAAGTACACAGGCTCTGAGCACTTTACAATACAGTACAACGTACAACAGTAACATAAAACGTTGTGTTCTAACTAAAAGAAAATCACTCCAAATATTCATCTAATTAATTTAAAAACAGAAACGACTTTAGCTAGATTATAATGATTATATCTTCAACTACAATAATTATAATATGATGATCGTTTCTGTAGGGCAACCGGAGGACATTGGAGACCCCCCCCCCGAAGCAGCTCACCTGTAGGACAGCCGGAGGACGTTGAGCTCCATGAAGGAGGACTTGAGCAAGGCCATCTGGTCAGCCATCTCCAGCTCACTGAAGCCTGGGACAACGGGCAAAGTTTTTAAAGTTTTAGTAAGAGTTTTACGCCACTTGCAACACAATAAGGTCATATAAGTGCCGAAGATTAGAGGTGTTACAAGAGAGTAGCAAACACAAAAAAAAAGAAGTAGAAAAGATCAGGACGATAGATGTTTGATAGGAAAGAAGGAGCAAACCACACCAGAGCACCCGCCAACCACCCACATACACTAGCTGGGTACCCTTTCGATGAACACACTCTAAAGAATCCATCGCCAAGTCATTGTGGAAATAGTGCACACTGGTTGTGAACGGAAACCTCACTTGTTTACAACGGCGTCTTAGAAGATGGATTTTCCCCAAATTAGATCAAAACGAAACTAATGAAAAACTGAAAATAAAACAACAGTGACTTCAGACTTTTATATAACTGTGCACTCTTCAAATGATTCTGAACCACTTTTCACCTCAACAATGGACAGCCACCTACGACAATTTCGAGTGTAATCCTCCACCCCCCCCCCTCCTTTACCCCTACCGTCATACTTGAAGCTCAGCCATACACAAACAAGATCAGAGAGTGAGAGACACAACCAGTGTCCCCGTGGTTTTATGCAACCCGCATAATTTAGCAAAATTTGATCTTTTTTTACATAATTTCTGATTATTTCCCTTTATGATTCTTCATTAAAATTCACAGAATCGCATAATTTCACATCATTGGGCTCAGTTAGCATCATTTCATAATTTTTTTAGCATAAAACCGCGGGGACAGACAAAAGGCCGAAGACCCCCAACCAGAACCCCGATCCCCGACCTAAGCTGTGCTGGTGAGGGCGTCAAACAGTCAAACAGTCGCCATTTTCCCTCCCCGCGGCTCACCTGGCACTTTCTTGGCCCAGTCAATGATATAGCGCAGCTCCAGGTAGCCGTACTGCATCAGCTCGTTGATGCTGATCTTCTCCATCTTGTCGGGCTGACCTGCGACCTCAGTAGAAGAGAACATAATTGGTCACTTTTAAGCACAAGGGTGCTATCCCGATATATGCTGTTTTAAGAAGGGCTATCCCGATAAATGCTGTTTTAAGAAGGGCTATCCCGATTAATGCTGTTTTAACAAGGGCTGTCCCGATAAATGCTGTTTTAAGAAAATCGAAGGTAAAGTTTCTGGATACTTATTCAGTCTCTTTAAAAAACAAGGAGAGTTTTCTCTATAACCAAACAAAATATACACACCAATGAAACCAAACTTCTCCTATAGGTAGGGCAAGGTCCACTTTTAGTGTAGGTCAAGTTTTCTGGAAACTCCTGAAATCTGGGTTAGCCCGCTTGTCCTTAAAAGTAACCATTAGTGAGGGAGCGTGGTGAAATCAGGCGCTCGTCAAAAGAAAGACGTTTGAGAAATAGACATTTTTCCATAAGTTTGGCAAATTCTTATCAAATTTTTGGTGTTTTTGTTCAACCCTTTCATGTCCAAATAAAAACACATTTCCATGCCGATTTTATTGACTGAGTGTACGTGTTTACAGTATCTGAGAACGACTATGTGAATGTGTTTTACAGTATCTGAGAGCGACTATGTGTACGTGTTTTACAGTATCTGAGAGCGACTGTGCGAATGTGTTTACGGTATCTGGACTCACCGTCGGCCTTGGGGTAGAGGTGCGGCCTGGCAGCCAACAGCTGATCCCTCAGCGCGTCCTCCATCCCCGCCATCTCTCCGTCCACCGGCCCAGCGCCCGCGCCCAGGAAGTTGCCACCTAGCGCCGCCCCTGCGCCCGATTGGTCGCTCAGACGCTGACGTTTGTGCCGGTGTTTGCCGCCTGGCGACCGGTCTTCTCGCACCGCTGGAAACAGGAGGAGAAAGTTTAGTATTAGTAAGAATTTTACGGCACTTGCAATACAATAAGGTCATATAAGTGCCGAAGAATAGAGGTGTTACAAAAGAGTAACATATACAAAAAAGGAGGAGGGATAAGGACGATAGATGTTTGATAGGAAAGAAGGAGCAAACCACACCAGAGCACCCGCCAACCACCCACAGGAGGAGAAATATCGCAGGACTGTTACTTCTTGTTATTGTTGTTCTTCCACCTGTTACGTATGTCACCTGACCAGCCAGCCTCCAGAGCCTACAACACCAAGCACTCAGGCTATAAAGGAAGAGGAAGGCCTCGCAAAAGGTGGATCGAGGGTGTCACGGAAACCCTGAGAAAACATAATATCACAACTGAAAGAGCTGCGGAGCTGGCCTACCACCGTAGAAAACTGCATCTCCCCTCGACACTTAAGGGTAACAAAGGATGAACAAGTCAAAGTAAGTAAAGTCCTTGTTGTTCATCTTCTTGTTATTGTCCATTGTTTGTGCGTTGCTGTTTCAGTTCAGTTGAGGTGCTGGCACGCCCTTATTTCTCCACACGCTGCCTCTATTCAGAAACATGCAAGACGCATCAGTCGGCTTTCGTTTCCACTTCAGCTCTCCGTCGCTATCTGCGACGGGGTGACGACGGAACCAGTGTGCACAATATTCCAAGAAATGCGGCGTCTGTCTGTTCAATCAATCGCTGGTTAGAAGTGGGAGACAGGTGGTAAAGAAAAGTCATATATACTACAGGAAAAGTAAGACAACCCTCTAATCTGAAAACGCCCCGTCTATAGAGAAATTTTAAAAAAGCTCAAAATTGAAAACAGTCCCTCCTTACCAGGCTCGAAAGCAAACGTTTTAACTGGAAATGGTTGACACATGATCATGGGATGACGTCTCTGTTGTCACAACCATATAACTGTAAACGTTTTACGCCGCTATTGACACATTGAGTGGGGGGAGGGGGGGTGGGGGAGAGACAGGGATGCCAAATGATTTTTGAAAAAAAAAACGCGTGAAAATGAGCGGCGCATCACATCTCACCTAAAACGAACCTTGTAAAGTTTCTAAATGAGCAAACAAAAACATCTCTTTCCTCTCCCCTTTCCTTCAAATGTGTATTTTAAAAAACGGGAAATAAACGGAAAAACCGGAGATTTGGCAACCCTGTGGAGATTTTGAAGAAGGAGGCGTAGGGAAGAGAACGAGAAGAAGGAGGTGGAGGAAAGAGAACGAGAAGAAGGAGGTGGAGGAAAGAGAACGAGAAGGAGGTGGAGGAAAGAGAACGAGAAGAAGGAGGTGGAGGAAAGAGAACGAGAAGAAGGAGGTGGAGGAAAGAGAGCGAGAAGAAGGAGGTGGAGGAAAGAGAACGAGAAGAAGGAGGTGGAGGAAAGAGAACGAGAAGAAGGAGGTGGAGGAAAGAGAACGAGAAGAAAGAGGTGGAGGAAAGAGAACGAGAAGAAGGAGGTGGAGGAAAGAGAACGAGAAGAAGGAGGTGGAGGAAAGAGAACGAGAAGAAGGAGGTGGAGGAAAGAGAACGAGAAGAAGGAGGTGGAGGAAAGAGAACGAGAAGAAGGAGGTGGAGGAAAGAGAACGAGAAGAAGGAGGTGGAGGAAAGAGAACGAGAAGAAGGAGGTGGAGGAAAGAGAACGAGAAGAAGGAGGTGGAGGAAAGAGAACGAGAAGAAGGAGGTGGAGGAAAGAGAACGAGAAGAAGGAGGTGGAGGAAAGAGAACGAGAAGAAGGAGGTGGAGGAAAGAGAACGAGAAGAAGGAGGTGGAGGAAAGAGAACGAGAAGAAGGACAAAAGAAAAGAAGAAAACCAACAAGTTCAACCAGTACGCACCATCCCGTCTCATGCCCATATTTAGACACTTCTGGAATCGGCAAAACTGACAGGAGTTGCGGGAGAACTTGTTGATGAAGCACATGCCCTGGTCCTTGCAGCAGTACGTCAGGTTCTTCTGCACGGAGCGCTTGAAGAAACCTTTACAGCCCTCGCAGGAGAACACCGAGTAGTGGTAGCCAGACGCTTTGTCGCCACAGATCAGACACGCGTTGATTCCCGAGATCTCTGTCCTGGGACAGGGAAGGTTTGGTTGTGAGCGGTTTATGCCATCCAGAGAAAAAATATTGTAGTAGTAAAGAGGAGAAGGTAGAGGAGGACGAAGAGGAGAGGAAGAGGTGGAGTAAAAAGAGGATGAGGAGGAAGGAGGGAGGAGGAGAAGGAGGAGAAGCATCTTACTCCACTTTGATTTTTATTGAGCCTGACTTTCTGGCACCTGCC